TAGTGTTGGATGGAGTTAGCTGGGCACGTACAAACTCGAATCGGTAATGGGGTTCTATCTAGGGCAGTTCCTAGGGATTTTTTTGCATTTTTTTCACTATCGAGTTACTCAGCACCTTGTCGTCTATATGCAAACCCCTAATCCACTATCTGTGATGGCGAATGATCGCGGGCTTTGCCCTTGGGCGCTCCCCTGCCTCGCTCTCCTTTTGTTTTCATAAAAGGTACAATCATCCGAAGAGAACAGCTTCTCGGAAGATTGAGTAGGGTGAAGAGCATGGCGCAAAACTAATGAAGAAAATAGACAGTGGTTCGCAAAAGCAAAGCTCAACTCACTGAAAAATGGCGAACATGGATGTCATGTTTCGTACATTCCGCATACCGGAAGGCCCTGAAAAAGGTCCAGTTATTCTCAAAGAAACACTTCGGGCTTTAATAGGATAGCTGCTATTTAACGTCGCAGTTCGCGCCACGAACTTCGGACAATACCGTTAACAATACCTCACTTTGGAAAGAAGTCTATCGAACATCAAACAAATCCCCCTTACCCCGTCAAACCTAATCGTAACTTTACTCGAAATTTCTAGACTTGATATGCATGCAGTAGTTTTACTTTTTATCGGAAAACTTCCATCCTTTCCACTTCTTCTACGGCAACGCTGCGACTCTTGTTGAGCTTTTTCAGCCTTACAAGAAATCGTCGTTTTCTGGAACCTATCGCTTCCATAGTCGGCCGAACACTATTGCATCAAATTTCCCCAATATCGCTCATCCCCTTCCTCAGTATTTTCCTTAGTATGTGCTGAAAGTAGTTCCGTGCTCTTCACTCCTCACTAACAGATTGAAGGAAGAAGTGGCGGTCATGTGCGGGCGGAACTACATACAGAGGGAATCAAAAACAGCTCCTCGCTGACGGCGCACACCACCAAAGCTCACGTCATGCAGAGTGCCAAGTTACATGCAATATTCACTGTTAGGAGTTCTGTAAACGAAAGCAATCCCTTCGCTACCGGTTTTCACAC